CAGAGGTTACAAAGGGCTGTGATTCCGCTGCAGGAGAATTCAGAGATTCAGTTAGATGAAGGAGTCCAAGACCAGTTCGGAACAGGGTCAGACTAAAACGTTATGAGGACTAGGGTTGAAGTGACCTTAGGGAATTCTACTCTTTTAGCATTGAAGTTTACTGAAGGTATAAATGTGTCACATTTAACTACGTTGGCGCCTCAGATGATTTCGACAACGTCAACTCCTTTGAAGAAGGTTATCAGGGCTAAGTTAGGAAGAGCGGTTTATCTCCCCTGTCGATGTGGAAGATTTAATGTTGGTGGTAATAATCCTCCTAAGTTGAAAAATAGTCATGGTGAAGATGTGTTGTTAACAGGACCTGAAGTTAATACGGTGCCTCGTGATCAGAGGAAGTATCTTTTGTTTAATGACCGGAGGTGGTTGAAAGTTAGGGATGATTGTTCACTTGTTGTGCGTAATGTTACATGGGAAGACCAAAGGGAATACACATGTACTTATTTAGAGCCAGAGTTTAAATTTGTTCCATTTCAAAATGTGTGGAGAGAGGGTTATATAACGCGTAAGGTAGTAGTTATGATAGAAGATTTGAGTTCTACTGAAGTTTTCATGGTTGAACCATTAAGTGCTAAATGTCAATCTTATGTGTTCTTGTGGCTGTTATACCAGCAGCAATCAGCAGAAGATAGGGTAATGGCTCTGTCAGAGCATCTATTTAGACCTAAACATAATTGTTCTTGGTTGAGGGGGAGTTATCATGTGTGAATTTACTTGATCAGCATGAAAATATGATAACAGCGATCCCTGATCCGTTGGAAGTGAAATCTCTGGGGGCTAAAGTTTTTGTTCAGATGATACTCATAATGGGCCTGGAAAGTTTATGGGAATATCAGACTGTAACAACTATATTATGGACTTGGGTGAGCATAAATATGAGGCTATGGGTGACTTGTATAAAGTGACTTTTCAGGTACCACATCACAAACTGAGTAGAACTTTGATGGTGCGGAACCAAAAGTTGCCTGGAAATGTGACTATAGGGAATGTTAAGGATATTTGGTGGGTTTGTGGTGATAAGGCATATATATTTCTACCATATGGGTGGATAGGATGCTGTTATATGGCGATGTTGAAGCTGCCGTATGAGGTTTTTACTGTCCAGAAGGGAAAAGTTTCTGATGAGATTCAATCTGATGCTATTTCTGGAAGTAGGAAGAAAAGGGAACTAGCACAATTTCATAATCTGGAGTCCTATCATTGGAGGATAAGCCTAGGAGAGAAGTGGGGTATAGGATTATTTCCATGGTATGGGGTGACATTTTTGGCAGATCATATTGATAATATTACCTACACCCTACAGGATTTTGCAAATGAGACTATAAGGGGTTTTGAATACTTGTTAAATACTCAAAAGAGTCACAGACTGACGCTGCTGAGACATGACATGGCTCTTGATTACCTTTTGGCCAAACAAGGTGGCCTATGTGTGGCTCTGAGCTTAACTGGTGATGCCTGTTATACTTTGATTCCTGATAGTTCTGACAAGATGACTAGTGTCATAGATGCATTGAAGCATATAAGGGATGCGTTTGGCCCAGCGGAAGGAGCTGGATGGTCTGCGAATGCTTGGTTGCAGGAGAAATTAGGACGATCGGGAGCAGTGTTGGTTCAGATTATGGTAGCAGTCCTTATATCATTGAGTTTGATGTTCTGTTTCTGTACGTTGTTGTTGACCTTTGTGAAGGCTATGATATTGAGATGGGTTGGAGTTGTGATGCCTGGAGATCAAGTTCAGATGCCATTACTACATAGGACTGACACAGATGATGATGAAGAAGGGGTGATAGAAGGTGAACTGATGGAGAAATATCCATTTTGAATATCTACTCTTATTATAGTCTTAACATTAATTTCTGTTATTATTTTGGTATTTAGTGGTCTCTTACTATAGAGTGGGATGAATGCAGGGGGAAATTAAAAAGGTGATTTATAGCTTGGAATAATGTGAAAGTATGATACTGTGAATTTCACATTTACTTATAAGGTGTTAATCTGTATTTGATGTTTTAATTTGCATCTGTTGTTTTTGCAAAAGATACTGGTTGGTGGTTTTCTTTTCTTTCTTTCAAGAACAATGCTGGGAGAAGACCACTGTAAGGGTGACTGGATCTTTGGGGACCCTGATGTTCATGGACAATAAGATGGGACTGAAGAACTTTGAATAAGGACACTGTGATACAATGCCCAGAGTCAACACATCATCGACACTACACTGAGAGTCGACGCTGCTGAGGAGCTGCAGTGTGATACATTTTTATGTCTTCATATATATTTGCATGGTATTGGAGTTTGTTATATTATATTGTAATGTGTGATATTGATAGAGGACATTTATAAGGAAGTGATAATCTTAGTAAGACATAATAGTAGGATTGAGTGTTTAAGTTGTTTATTGCATGAGTAGTACTTAAATGTATAACACTCTCTTGGGTTTTAATTGTTTGAAGACGGATGTTTTCTGTTATGGGGTAAGTACATTGGGACCTCAGATGTTTTTTTCTTTTTTTGGGAGTTTAGGGATATTGGTGTTAGGCAGGGAAAGGTCCATTGGAGGGTCTGATGGGTCGACCAGCCTGAATGTGGACATTGTTTTGATTTTATTTTCTGAGGTTTCCATATGTATTTGCTTAAGTTATATCCTTACACGACTTATTAAAATTTCTCCTTTTTAAATTGATCTGCAGTACTCTAGGCAGAGGGCCCGTGAGAGTCCCTCACCGTAACCGTAACGATCCCTCACCGTAACCGTAACGATCTGTTTTAGTCTTTATTTTAGTTTAGGTTTGTCTGGACTGTAAGGCCTGAAGGGGTTTTTATACCGTAACGATCTGTTTTTGCTTTTATTTTAGTTTAGTTTTATCTGGAATAAATGAAAATAAACATAAATGCAGTAAAACAAGGTGTGTGTGTGTGTACAATTTGTGTGTGTGAGTGTGTGTGTATGTGATAAATGTGTGTTTGTATGTAGTATCCGGGCTTCATGTGTTATCTGACGTTGCAGGTTTGGAATGTTTAAGTGAGGGGACCCCTGGTCCAAAGGTCCAAGGGTTAAGGTCTCCTTCCTCTTTAGTTCCAGATGAATGAGACTATTCTAAGAAAAACTATATGTTCTGCTCCCTTTTTCCACAACAACCACCCTATATAAGCAGAAGGTTATATTGTCCTGAAGGGGACACTTTAGAATTGGCACGGATCCCCTCTCAGGTACTTCATGGTGCTTGATATGATACTGTTCTACTTTGTAATAAACATCTTATACAAGCAAGACGGTGTCAGCGGAGACTCCTTCATCATCTTCACATCATCGCTATTTAATAAACAACATGTGTAACAGTGAATCTGAAATGTATCTCATTTATAAACTCATGTCTCTGTGTTTCTGTTCAGTGAATCTTTTTCTGAATCACATTTTAGAGAAAACAGTTTATTTTATTCTTTATTTACTCTGAAAAATTTTAACACAGAACTGTTTGATTTCTCTCATATTTACAGTCTGAGATCAAACTGATAAACAACAAACACATTTCAACCAACCTGACCCCCCCCCCTCTCTCCTCTCTCTGCCCACCCTGTTTTCTCTCTCTCTCTTACTATCTCTCTCTCTCTCTCTCACTGTCTGTCTCACTCTCTTTCTCTGTCTCTCTTACACACACTCTCTCTCTCTGTCCACCCTCTGATTTCTCTCTTTCTGTCTCTCTCTCTTTATCCCTCTCTCTCTGTTTGTGTCTCTCTCTGTCTGTACCTCTCTCTCTCACTCTCTCTGCCCACCCTGTTTTCTCTCTTTCTCTCTCTCTCTCTCTCACACACTGTCTCTCTCACACACTCTCTCTCTCTGTCCACCCTCTGATTTCTCTTTCTGTCTCTCTCTCTTTATCCCTCTCTCTCTGTTTGTGTCTCTCGCTGTCTGTACCTCTCTCAATTCAATTCAACAAGCTTTATTGGCATGACCGTATTGAGTTACAGTTTTGCCAAAGCATCATCAAAAAGGAACATGAAAAATGAACATTAAGAACATAGAGCTTTAGAACAAGAGCATAAGAACTCTTAATTTCATTTGATGTAAAAAAAAATAAGACAAGAATCACATAAAATAATAGCAAAAATAGTGCTTTGGAATTGAGTTGTAAAGAAAATTAAGAGGAAAAATAATAAATAATAGATTGTGTGTGTGTGTGTGTGTGTGTGTGTGTGAGAGAGTATGTGTGTGTGTGTGTGTGTGTGTGTGTTTGGGTGGGTCACTCACTGTCCCTCATATTGTGGCAGGCAGATACATATCGTGCTGCTAAGGCGCTGCTCTCTCTCCTCTCTCCTAGCAGGATGGGCAGCTTCTCATTATTACTGTGGCGGCTAAATTGGGGGTGAATCTTCTCAAATTTAGTAAAGTATATTTTCCTTAGTTTTGTATTTGTTACTCTCAGTGAGGAAGTGCAGCTCTGTCTCCACAGTGTTACTGTCACACTGCTGGCAGAGTCTCAGCTTTTTAGGCAGCCAGGATCTCTTATAGTGGCCGGTCTGCACGGCCAGGCTGTGGTCGCTGAGTCTGTACCATGTTCTTATAGCGGCCGGTCTGCACGGCCAGGCTGTGGTCGCTGAGTCTGTACTGTGTTCTTATAGCGGCCGGTCTGCACGGCCAGGCTGTGGTCGCTGAGCCTGTACCGTGTTCTTATAGCGGCCGGTCTGCACGGCCAGGCTGTGGTCGCTGAGCCTGTACCGTGTTCTTATAGCGGCCGGTCTGCAGGGCCAGGTTGTGTTCGCTGAGTCTGTACCGTGTTCTTATAGCGGCCGGTCTGCAGGGCCAGGTTGTGTTCGCTGAGTCTGTACCGTGTTCTTATAGCGGCCGGTCTGCACGGCCAGGTTGTGTTTGCTGAGTCTGTACCGTGTTCTTATAGCAGCCGGTCTGCAGGGCCAGGCTGTGGTCACTGAGTCTGTACCTTGCCGTTATAGTGGCCGGTCTGCACGGCCAGGCTGTGGCCACTGAGTCTGTACCGTGTCCTTATAGTGGCCGGTCTGCACGGCCAGGCTGTGGTCACTGAGTCTGTACTTTGTCAGCGTGGTTCTGTGTTTAGTGTCAGTCACTGTGTTCAGGTTCCCCGCTACAGTGTACTGACGTTTTAGGGCCAGAGAGCACTGCATTGTGCTCTGTGTGTGTGTCTGTGTGTGTCTGTGTTCCAATGGGTGATGTAGTTCTGTTTTTGGAGTGTTATGATGTGGTTTGGTCTGATTGTGTGTATTACAGGCTGGTCCTCTGTAGAGGTTATTCTGTGTCACACAGATCCACTGAGTCATAAACCCAGAATCCAGCGTAGAGTGGTTCAGTGAATGTGGTGGTGAGTGTGTGTAGGTGGGTCAGTGTGTGTGTGTTAGGGGAGATGGTGTAGAAGGACAGAGTGCCGGACCCCCAGTCCAGATACACTCCTACTCTCTTAGAGGGGGAGGAGGGGGCAGGTAGATCAGTTCTCTGTTTATTGTGATAGACAGAGTATCTGTTATTAGAGCAGTTCAGACTCCAGGAGTGTTTATTGTATCCAAACCCAGAGTCATCACTGAGTCCTTTCCTCCTGATTCCTCTGTATGATACTGATATATAAACCTCTCCGCTCCACTGAACCTCCCAGTAACAGCGTCCAGTCAGACTCTCCACACTCAGAACCTGAGGACAGTAATCAAATCTGTCTGGATGATCTGGATACGGCTGAAGTTCTCCCACATCCTCCACCTTTCTGTTCCTCTCAGACAGAGAGAGACGACTGTTCACTGTGTTTGGATCCAGAGTGAGATGAACAGCATCTGTACACACACATACACACACACACACACACACACACATACACACACACACACACACACACCCAGACACACACACACACACACAGATACACACACACACACACACACACACACACACACACACACACACACAGATACACACACACACACACACACACACACACACACCCAGACACACACACACAGATACACACACACACACACACACACACACACACACACAGAGGAGACATAGAGAATTTTAATGTGAGTGTATATAATGTTTGTGTGTTTACAGTGTATGTGAGTGTATGATGTGTATGGGTGTGTGTGTGTAAGATATGAGAGTGTACATGTGTGTATGGTGTGTTTGTATGATATTTATGTTTGTGTGTCAAAATGTGTGTTTGTATGTACTGTATGAGATGTGTGTGTATAGTGTATATGTGGGTGTGTGTCTATAGTGTATAGTGTGTTGTGTGTGTATAGTGTGGGTGTGTGTGTTTACATTTCTTCAGTCCTGGTTTCATCCTGATCTTCCCTCCATGATCCACCCTGAAGAACAAACACACACATTTATAGATCTATATCAAATAAAAACCAAACTAAAATAAAGAGTAAAACAGATTGTTACGGTATAAAACCCCCTTCAGACCTTACGGTCCAGATAAAACTAAAATTAGCTCTAAATCACACTGCTACGCTAGTCAGCTCTAAATCACACTGCTACGCTAGTCAGCTCTAAATCACACTGCTAGGCTAGTCAGCTCTAAATCACACTGCTAGGCTAGTTAGCTCTAAATCACACTGCTAGGCTAGTTAGCTCTAAGTCACAGTGCTAGGCTAGTCAGCTCTAAATCACACTGCTAGGCTAGTTAGCTCTAAATCACACTGCTCAGCTAGTTAGCTCTAAATCACACTGCTAGGCTAGTCAGCTCTAAATCACACTGCTCAGCTAGTTAGCTCTAAATCACACTGCTAGGCCAGTTAGCTCTAAATCACACTGCTCAGCTAGTTAGCTCTAAATCACACTGCTAGGCTAATCAGCTCTAAATCACACTGCTCAGCTAGTTAGCTCTAAATCACACTGCTAGGCTAGTCAGCTCTAAATCACACTGCTCAGCTAGTTAGCTCTAAATCACACTGCTAGGCTAGTCAGCTCTAAATCACACTGCTCAGCTAGTTAGCTCTAAATCACACTGCTAGGCTAGTTAGCTCTAAATCACACTGCTAGGCCAGTTAGCTCTAAATCACACTGCTAGGCTAGTTAGCTCTAAATCACACTGCTAGGCCAGTTAGCTCTAAATCACACTGCTCAGCTAGTTAGCTCTAAATCACACTGCTAGGCTAATCAGCTCTAAATCACACTGCTAGGCTAGTTAGCTCTAAATCACACTGCTAGGCTAGTTAGCTTTAAATCACACTGCTCAGCTAGTTAACTCTAAATCACTCTGCTAAGCTAGTTAGCTATAAATCAAGTCCTGTCAAGAGGCTTTTATTGTCATTCCATCTATGTACAAGTACACAGTGGAGTGAAATTATGTTCCTCCAGGAACAACACGGTGCAACAAGGAACAAAAAGTACAAAAGTACAAAATTACAAAGTGCGAATGTGCAGACAGTGTGCAAACAACAATTAAGCTAGAAAACAATACAATAAATACAATAAATTAAACAGACATTAGACACAGTAAACAGACAGGACAGTGCAGCATCGACACAGCACAGATTTCTGGACATGAGGTAGTGGAATAAGGTGCAGACATTTTTAACGTGATGTGATTTGTAAGTTATGTTAGATAACAAACAAACACAGCAGTTACTGAGGTAGTAAACAGTTACTGAGGTAGTAAAACAGTTACTGAGGTAGTAAAAACAGTGTAAACACAGTGTTAGCAGCAATGTTCCAGATAGATAGTGCAAGTAGAGCATCAAAAGAGGTGTGTATGAGTGTGTAGGGGGGGATTTAGTTCAGTCCTTGTGAGTTTAAAAACCTGATCGCTTGAGGAACAAAGCTGTTGCAGAGTCTGGCAGTGATGGCACGGATGCTCTGGTACCTTCTGCCAGACGGCAGCAGTGAGAAAAGTCTGTGTGAGGGATGGATGGGGTCGTTCACGATGCTGGTGGCTTTGCGGATGCAGCATGTGGTGTAGATGTCCATGATGGAGGGGAGAGAGACCCTGATGATCCTCTCAGCTGTCCTCACTATGTGCTGTAGGATCTTGCGGTCGGAGGCGGTGCAATTCCCAAACCAGGCAATGATGCAGCTGCTCAGGATGCTCTCCACAGTCCCCCTTTAGAATATGGTGAGGATGGGAGGGGGGAGATGAACTTTCTTCAGTCTCTGTAGGAAGTAGAGGCACTGCTGGGCTCTCTTGGCTATGGAGTTGATGTTGAGGGACCAGGTGAGGTTCTCTGTGATGTGGACGCCGAGGAACTTGGTGCTCTGGACGATTTCCACAGCAGAGCCAGTGATGGTCAGTGGGGCGTGGTCACCCCGCATTCTTCGAAAGTCAACAACCATCTCCTTAGTTTTGTCTACATTCAGAGACAGGTTGTTGGTTCCGCACCAGTCTGTTAGCCGCTGCACCTCCTCTCTGTGCTGACTCATCATTCTTGCTGATCAGACCCACCACAGTCGTGTCATCAGCAAACTTGATGATGTGGTTTGAGCTGTACTTTGCAGTACAGTCATGAGTCAGCAGGGTAAACAGCAGTGGACACAGCCCTGAGGGGCTCCGGTGCTCAGTATGGTGGTGCTGGAGAAGTTATTACCTATCCTGACTAACTGAGGTCTCTCAGTCAGGAAATCCAGGACCCAGTTACAGAGGGAGGCGTTCAGGCCCAGCAGGCTCAGTTTTCCAATCAGCTGCTGAGGGATGATGGTGTTGAATGCTGAACTGAAGTCTATGAACAGCATTCTGACATAGGTGTCTTTATTGTCCAGGTGGGTGAGAGCCAGGTGGACTGTGGTGGAGAGGGCATCATCTATTGAGCGGTTGGGGCAATATGCAAATTGCAGTGGGTCCAGTGAAGGAGGGAGCTGGTCTTTGATGTGCCTCATGACAAGCCTCTCAAAGCACTTCATGATGATTGGAGTGAGTGCAACGGGATGGTAGTCATTGAGGCAGGACACTGGAGACTTCTTCGGCACAGGGATGATGGTGGTGGACTTGAAGCACGTTGGAACGACTGCAGTGCTCAGAGAGATGTTGAATATGTCCGTGAGAACATCAGCCAGCTGTTCAGCGCATTATCTGAGCACTCTGCCCGGTATGCTGTCGGATCCTGGAGCTTTTCATGGGTTGACTCTGTGTAGAGTTCTCTGCGTATCAGCTGTGGACAGACACAGTACTTGTTCATTTGGAGGAGGTGTGGTCTTCCTCGCCGCCGTGCCGTTCTGTGCTTCAAACCGAGCATAGAAGTTGTTTAGCACATCTGGAAGGGAGGCATCACCGTCACAAACAGGTGGAGGTGTCTTGTAGTTGGTGATGGCCTGGATGCCCTGCCACATGCGCCGTGTGTCAGCAGTGTTTTGAAAGTGATTATGGATTTTCTTTGAGTAGGCACGCTTAGCCTCTTTGATGGCCCGGGAAAGCTTGGCTCTTGCTATCCTGAGGCTTGCTCTGTCCCTTGACTTGAAAGCCTTGTCATGGGTTCTCAGCAGCATGTGCACCTCTGCAGTCATCCATGGTTTCTGCTTGGGGTGACTTGTGATGAGTTTGGAGACAGTACCATCATCAATGCACTTGCTGATGTAGCCAGTCACTGATTCTGTATACTCCTCCAGGCTGATGGAGTCACCGGAGGTTGCTGCTTCTCTGAACGTCTCCCAATCAGTGTGCTCAAAACAGTCCTGAAGATCAGAGATAGCTCCTGGCGCCCAGGTTCTCACTCGCTTCTGGTCTGGTTTGGCACGTCTGATGAGCGGTCTAAAGAAGTCCTTGACCACAAAAATGCCATGGAAAAATGAACAGATAAACCTGTTGAAAAGGGACGCAGAGCAAACTGGAAATGGAGGAAAACTAAACTAAACAAATTCTTAAAAACTGTATTAATATTTATAACAATGCAGTACAAACAGAGAGACAGAGGTAATTGATCGCTTGTTAAATCCTAAATTCACCAATGATTCAACCAATGACACTTCAAGATCAAAATGTAATGATTTTGCATGATTTTTAATAGAAAAATCACTAACATTGTCACATTTTATTACTCCAAAACTACCAATAGACTATTTTTATTCAACAGCTAAACACTATGAATAGTTTTAGAAAGATAACTGAGACAGAACTTCAGAAAGAATGCAGTTAAATTCCTCCACCTGTGTTTTAAATCCTGTTCCAACAGCAATTTTAAAGAAGTATTTGACAGTCTTTGTCAGTTTACATTGTAAACTGTACTTTGGAAACCAGCACTTTTCCAGACACACTCAAAACAGCAGTTGTAAGGCCACTATTGAAAAAACAGATCCTTCAGTTCTTAGCAATTACAGACCAATTTTACATTTTTAAGTAAAATAATTGAAAAAATAGCCTCCCACAGCTTAATGAATTCGTAAATGAACACAATATTCTTGAAAAAATCCAGTCTGGCTTCAGAGCAAACCACAGCACTGAAACTGCTTTAGTGAAGGTGGTGAATGATCTGAGAATAAATGCTGATGCTGGTGATGTTTCGGTACTTATGCTTCTGGATTTAACTGCTGCATTTGACAATATAGACCACAGAATACTTTTAAGTCAACTTGAGAACTTGGTTGGTCCTAATAGAACTGTGTTAAACTGGTTCTCTACATATTTAACTGGAAGACACTATTTTGTAAACAGAGGTGAACATATGTCGGATCATGATATTCTCTGTGGTGTACCACAAGGCTCTGTACTAGGTCCACTTCTGTTTTCTTTGTATTTGCTGCCACTGGGTCAGATTATTAGGAAGCAGGGCATCAATTTTCATAGTTATGCAGATGATACACAGCTGTATATATCTGTGGCTCCAGACAATGTCAGTTCAGTAGATAAGCTCACTATGTGTCTGTCCAGCATAGTTAGCTGGATGAACAGCAATTTTCTAAAGCTAAATGAAGACAGAAATAATTATAATTGGTAGTGAAGCAAAGAGGAACAATGTGAATGAAAGACGTGGAAATCTGGCTGTACAAATAAAAACTGAAGGTAGAAATCTTGGTGTAAATCTAGACTGTGATTTAACTTTTAATGCACATATTATAATTAATAATATTACCAAAACTGCTTTTTATCATCTAAGGAATACAGCACGAGTCTGACCTGATCTCTGTCTGCAATATGCTAAGAAACTGGTCCATGATTTTGTGTTTTCTCGACTTAACGACTGTAATGCTTTGTTCACAGGACGTCCTGCAAGTACAACCAACAAACTACAACTTTATTTTAGTGTTTAATTCGTTTTTTATTGTTGTTTCCTTTGTTTTTACTGGAACATTACTTACTTTTATGTTAATCTTGCTACATTTTTATTGTCTTTTCTTTCTTTTTATTTATAGTTTAAATTGTATTTATGAATGAATCCATTTTCTTCTATTTATTATTTGTTTATTATTTTTGATTATCTTTTTCTCTCTTCTTCCTCTGTTGTTTTTACTTTGTATTGTGAAGCACTTTGAGATGCATTTTTAATGTATGAAAGGTGCTATATAAATTATTATTATTATTATTATTATTATTATTATTATTCGGTTGTTCCTGTGTGTAAATAATCGTTAATCCTCACTTTTCCTTCACAACAAACAGCACATCAGGACCTAAAGCTGAACACAGTGAGAGTTTAGTTTAATGTACTGAAGGCGCTGGTTGTTGGTGCCTCACTCTGAGATGAGTGATGAGTGTGATGGTGAAGAAGGCGACACAGGAGAGGCTACAGAATAACACACACATACATTTAGACTAACAGAACAACAACACTAACATCATTAAACCACAACACTGTCCCTTAAGGGCGGAGCCACGGCACAGCTCTGCATAAGACGCCTCTAAAGCTCTTTCTCGAAAGCGGAGCCGCCACAGTATCATATGAACAATATGAACACAGGACAGCAGAGCTCACAGCTTTAATCGTTTACTCTGGAGCTGTAACACAGTCACTATAATGAAGTTTATGATTAGTTTGTGAAACTGTGAAACGAAGCTATTTCCTGATTTTTCCACTGACAATAACAGAATAAAAAACAAGAATTGACCCATTTTTCTGTTTCTCAGTACTGTTTTTTAAATGAACATGGAATGACCCAAAGATACACGGACCTCTATAATACCAAAAAGACTTCGGTCATATGTAGAACCATCTACAGCACATTGTCTATCAATCTGAAGAACAATTTCACCACCAAAGAGCTCTTTAATCACGCAAATGGTTCTTTTTGTGTTCCTAGTTCTATATAGAACCCCTGTCTTTACTAAAGGACCTTTGAAGAACCATCTGTTTTTAAGAGTGAACTACCGCATGTGGGGGACGGGCATATTTGACTATAAGCGAATCAGAAACTGCTCATTTAAATGATAACTCTCTGGGCCAATCAGAAAACGCGACCATCAAATTCTCTCATACACTCTATCAAGTTCTCTCTCACTATCAAGAACACCTTAGAATTTGATAGTGAGTGTGAGAGTTTGATAGCGAGAGTGAGAGTTTGATAGCGAATGTGAGAGTTTGATAACAAGTGTGAGAGAGTTTGATAGTGAGTGTGAAAGAGTTTGATAGTGAATGTGAATTTGATAGCGAGTGTGAAAGAGTTTGATAGCGAATGTGAATTTGATAGCGAATGTGAGAAAGTTTGATAGTGAGTGTGAGAGGGTTTGATAGTGAATGTGAATTTGATAGTGAGTGTGAAAGAGTTTGATAGCGAATGTGAATTTGATAGCGAATGTGAGAAAGTTTGATAGTGAGTGTGAGAGGGTTTGATAGTGAATGTGAATTTGATAGTGAGTGTGAAAGAGTTTGATAGCGAATGTGAATTTGATAGCGAGTGTGAGAAAGTTTGATAGTGAGTGTGAAAGAGTTTGATAGCGAATGTGAATTTGATAGTGAGTGTGAAAGAGTTTGATAGTGAATGTGAATTTGATAGTGAGTGTGAAAGAGTTTGATAGCGAATGTGAATTTGATAGCGAGTGTGAGAAAGTTTGATAGTGAGTGTGAGAGGGTTTGATAGTGAATGTGAGTTTGATAGCAAGTGTGAGAAAGTTTGATAGTGAGTGTGAGAGGGTTTGATAGTGAGTGTGAAAGAGTTTGATAGCGAATGTGAATTTGATAGCGAGTGTGAGAAAGTTTGATAGTGAGTGTGAGAGGGTTTGATAGTGAATGTGAGTTTGATAGCAAGTGTGAGAAAGTTTGATAGTGAGTATGAAAGAGTTTGATAGTGTAAGAGTTTAATAGCGAATGTGAGAGACTTTGATAGCGAGTGTGAGAAAGTTTGATAGTGAATGTGAGTTTGATAGCAAGTGTGAGAAAGTTTGATAGTAAGTGTGAGAGAGTTTGATAGTGAGTGTGAGAGGTTTGATAGTGAGTGTGAGAGGGTTTGATAGTGAATGTGAGGGAGTTTGATAGTGAATGTGAGAGTTTAATAGTGAGTGTGAGAGGTTTGATAGTGAGTGTGAGAGGGTTTGATAGTGAGTGTGAGAGGGTTTGATAGTGAGTGTCAGAGGGTTTGACAGTCAGTGTGAGAGGTTTGATAGTGAGTGTGAGAGGTTTGATAGTGAGTGTGAGAGGGTTTGATAGTGAATGTGAGAGAGTTTAATAGTGAATGTGAGAGGTTTGATAGTGAGTGTGCGAGGGTTTGATAGTGAATGTGAGAGAGTTTAAAAGTGAGCGGGAGAGGTAAGTTAAAATTTTGGCCTAAATGACCTCTCATAAGTCTGTAAGAAGTTAAACTCAGTGTAAGATGTGTTCAGTCAGTCTGTAAGAAGTTAAACTCAGTGTGTAAAATGTCTTCAGTTACAATTCAAAAACAAACACATCTACAGTAAAACATTTCAGTCAGTAATGTGTATAATGTGTATAATCACAGTCAGTCTGTGTACAGAGACAGTAAGTCAGTAACTCACTGTAGTTTCTCCAGTTTACAGTGTGGATCCTCCAGTAGATCAGACAGCAGCTTCACTCCAGACTCTCCTGGGTGATTATAGGTCAGATCCAGGTCTCTCAGGTGGGAGGGGTTTGATTTCAGAGCTGAAGCCAGAGAAGAACAGCTTTCATCTGTAACCATACAGCCAGACAATCTGCAGAAAGGAAAGAAAAAGATGGACAGATAGCATTTAATTACAGCAAAACCCAACTGCAGTACAGAATTGGCCTCCAGCCAGTTCATAACAAAGAACTGATAGAGACAATGAGTGAAAGTTGTAGCGAAAACTTTTTATTTTCAAATTAATCTATTTAAAAATGGGCTTCAAACCAAATGGGCTTCAAACCACAAAGCCCTACTGCAGTCCACCTGGATTCCTGACAGCATTAGCCCCAAGATTGCCAGAAAATGAACCTGCAGTAAGCTTTCAAACCCATAGTTCCACAGTTCACATCCGCTTCTTCTGTTTTTTGCAGTGTTTTCAGTTTGTTCCTTTCCCTTCTCTAACTTTCCCTGTTAGTTTACCCATTTCTTGAGTTCAGCTTTGTACCTGAGCTTGTGTTTGTCTTCAGTAGGTGACGTGCCTTGTTGCCCATAGACCACTGTAGTTGTGTGTCATTCTGTAGTCCTCATTATGCCCATATTAAGAACTCCCGGTCTGAGCTCCATTTCTCTATGGCCAGAATGAGTAGCATTTCTAAAAAATCGCCTCTATCGCCCCCTGTGTTAAAAAATGTTCAGAACCCAATACGTTTTGTCCTGTGAACATTTTTCTCCCGAATATCACTGAATCCTCTGAATTACGAGGTTGTTACAGAGCCTTAATACTAATATTGCTACATGCAAGCTAAAGCTACTGCGCTAAGCTACACGAAACCAAGGCAGGCTGTGTCGGTGCTCTGATGAGTTATGCTATCTTATCGAAATGTTCTACTGTAGCGCATATTTACGGGTATAACCGTAAATAAAATTTCTGGGTGGGATATTTTGATAGACTAAAACTCCTCATTAAAAATACTACCTGTGTTAAACTATGAGGCTGAATTTAGAGAACTCAGAGAACTGCAGGGAAACCTGCTGATTTTGTTCTGACTCCTTTTCATTTCCTCTCAGTCTGAACATGGAAATATTTACTGCCAAAACCTGCTTAAGGAGGCTGCCAGTCTAATGACGTGAATTCAGTGCGCAATAGCTTTAGCTCACATGTAGCAATATACATATTTCAACTCCTTAACGACCTCATATTTCAGAGGATCCAGTGGTATTTGAGAGAAGAATGTTCACAGGACAAAACGTATCGGGTTCTGAACATTTTTATTTAACACAGGGGGCGATAGAGGCAATTTTTTGAAAACCCTATTCATTCTGGCCACAGAGAAATGAAGCTTAGACCCAGAGTTCCTTACATGGGCACAAGAGTATGGCGCCGAATACAAAATGACGACACGACTACAGTGGTCTATTTGTCTCTAGTATTAGAGGCCTAAGTTTGATGCACAGAGCCAGTCAGCCCCACTACAGGAGCTCTGCTGGGCTGAGCACTGAGACATTCAGCTTAAATAAAGTTCAAACACTGTTCAAATTCAAACACTGTATTTTCATTACTTTCTTTCATATATTTCTCCTTCTTCTAATCAAACGTCCTATAAATGTCCCATCTCTATCTTCAGCCCAGGTGATTGAGAGGAAAGAGACGCTGTTGTTTTCCTTTGATTTTGCATATTTGTCACACTAAATGTTTTGGGATACTCATATAAAATGTAATATAAAACAAGGATAACTTGAGGAAAAAATGAAAAATTTTCAAATGATCATTAAAAAAAAGTAACTGCCCATAAACTTAATAACTGGTTGTGCCACCTTTTGCAAGAACAAGTGTAACCAAACACTCAGCGTCAGAGCAGAGTATCAGGCACCACAGCTGAGCTGGTTTGTTTTTAGCCTAGCTTTTAGCCCTTTTTTAGCCCAACTGGGCAACCCAGCTTTTGTTTTTTACCTTTTTTAAGCCTTGTTTTAAGTGCTAAATTTTTATCTGTCTGAGCCCCTGCACTGACTACTTTAAACTACGGACTGCTTGTTATATTTTACTTTAATCAACGAGTTGTTTTTGGGCCATGCCTCCCCTCAGCTCTCCAGCTGGACGTGATGGCTGTGCGCAACTGAGCCAGAAGATTTGTGAACTTGAAGAAAGAATCTCTTGCTCTACCAGATCAAAAACGATGAGGATCTCCTCGACTCCTTGCTGGCTACAATGCAGGCAATCAGCACCAGGCTAGGCTGCAGTCTTTGAGTGGCTGCTACAGCTGTCCAGGACGAGGATCACTGGCCTCAGCTAGGAGCTAAACCCAAGGCCAGGGAGGTGTGCTGCTCCACGCCGTGCCAGGCTGAGCCGTGGTCCATTGTAGGTTGGGGTTTGCATGGTGGTAGGCGCTCCGCCCGCCACCCGATTCCACGAAAGGTTCACCTGAGCAACAGATTCTCTGTGTTGGAGGAGCTGGAAGAGGCCACTTTTGCTGACAAACAGTCATCAGTGCAGAACATCCAAGTAAGCTCTCCAGCCATAAACTGTGCAGCGGGCCCACCACTGCACCTCTCAGCTGGACGCGGCCGGACAGCCAAACTTCCCCAGGCCATCTCCACCTCCACCTCCACATGGCCACTCTGCCGAGTTCCCTCACAGCTGCCACACTGACAGCCTGACCGCCTGCTCCCTACACCGGAATTCTGCCGCGCTGACCCCTCGTCTCCCACCACCGCTGGTTACCGAGCCACAAACCCATCGTCCATCCCTGCCTCAGCCTCCACTGACCCGCAACCCTCACACTAACAGTAGGTGACTCAATCATCAGAAACGTTAAGCACCACACAGCCGTACAGTTCACTCTATCACTGGTGCAAAAGTCTCTGACATTACACAGCAGCTCCCCAGTCTTCTAAAGAAATACGACTCAGTAAAGAAGATAGTAATACATGTGGGATGTAACGATATCAGAAATCAGAACTGCTGAAAAAGGACTTCACAAGCCTGCTGTCTTCTGTACAAGACTGTGGTAAATCCATTTTTACCTTTTAACTCCAGATGACTATTACAAACCTCAAACTCAAGTATTTCTGTAGTTTTGAGTAGAAGACCCAGGACCAGCTCTTCATCAAAAAGAAATATCAAAGAAGTGAAAACTTTTAATGGTTTTATTAATCCAGACAATCTGATTTTTATTGATCCAATTCTAATTACCTTATACTCACAAGAAAACCCTGCAGTAATTTCTATAACAGATCTTGAGAGTTTTAAAAACAGAAAAGGTTTAGGCATAATTCATCTTAACATTAGAAGCCGACTTCAGAAAGATAAAATGGATCAACTTAAAGTCCTGATTGCACAATCTGATCCAGATATTTTAATACTAACAGAGACCTGGCTTAGACAGTCTGTAAGTGATGAAGGTGTGGCCTTAAATGATTTTAACCTTTATAGAATAGACAGAGAATCAAGAGAAGGGGGTTTACTAGTGAAGTTTCCTCAGTGTCTGTTAGTCCTGGTGGTGTCCAGTAGTCACTAGTGGTATTCTGTGTTTTCCTGAAGAGTTGATATCACGGTAAAGGATTCTGGTCATTTAATCCGGTGTTCTGTGACTGATTCCAGATAAATTTGATCGTTTCCTAATGGCCTCTAACGGCAACCATCAAGACAATTCCCGTTAGCAAGCAAAACCGTCAGGTTCTATTCCTAACGGCCCTGCAAACACAGCTACCTTGTGACAACGTACTGTTTTAGTGCCCACAGTGTCGTCTGCGTGGTGCTTTTCTACATTCTCACAATGTTGAAATGTAATTCCTCAGAAAGTTAAGACAATGTTGTCTGACAACTTTCTAGGAGATTGTGACATTGATGAGACAGCAAAAGTAATCAGTACCACGTTGACTGTACGTTGTCACAACCTCCTAGAATCCTTAATGAGTTCTATTTTAAATCAATATTACGGGTGTTGATAAGCGGTTCTGATCGTTTTAGCATGGCTTTCATGAGTTTCAGTAGCCTTTTTGTTTTTTCTGCAGATAAATCCAACATTCATGTCTTATCATCGTGGCAGGTTTTATTTTGAAAGTTTCTATGTTTAATTACTTTATTATTAGTATGGCAACATCAATATACATTCAGTGTAACTCTTGTTGCCCAGCAGTTCATGGTTCGCTGTTTTCCCTCAAAAAACCGACAAAAACACTGTTGTGGCAGAGCGTGCACTGACGTCATCAATAGGCTGGTGGCGCATGTAGGCTGAGAGTGCATGTCTGCAGCCAGACCCTTCTCAAAACTTTTGGAAAACTGTAAAATCCTTTAAAACAATTCCTCTACCCTTCCAACCAGCGTTATAGTTGATGATCAGCTGATATCTGATCAGAAGGAAGTCTGTAGAGCTTTTAACACACATTTTGCTGCAGCTGGGCACATTTTTGAAAATACAGACTCGAATCTGCTGTCAGGTCAAACTGATATGAACTCTATTGTTACCCAGAGCCATGGCCTCTTCACACTCCAGCTCTTCTCTCCAATCAGAGTAGATAAATCTCTTACTACTATTAATCCACGAAAGACTACTGGTGAAGATGGGCTGGACCCTAACTTCCTGCGTCTGGCAGCCCCAATTATTTAGAGAATTCTTTAGAGAAAGACACAGCACGATCTCTGCTACCACACTGGTTTTAAATGATCTCTATATGGCCACAGACAGGAAGAAGCATTGTGCTGCCATTTTTATTGATTTATGAAAAGCGTTTGATACAGTTGATCACACTCTTCTTTGAAGGAACTCACAAAAGATTGTCTTTGATACAAACGCACTAAAATGGACCCCAAATTACCTTTCAGACAGACAACAATGTGCAGCACTGAATAATTACAAATCAGATTATTTGACCATATCCAAAGGAACCACAAGGTTCAATTTTGGGCCCAGTTTTAACAGTTATATTCTATATATATATATATATATATATATATATATATATATATATATATATATATATATATATATAAACACACTGGTTTATTTTTATTTATAAAACACTCTCCGGCTGTATGCCAGCATATATTACTTCAATGACGTCTGTAAATAATGGTATTTATCAGACTCGCTCCAGTGGTTGGATCACATGTCAGTTACTGAAAGTTTTTACTGAACTGGGAAAATCTGCTTTTAGTTACAGCACCACCGAGCTGGACCCTCACTACAGGAACCACTACAGCTCAGCTCGCTGGGTCACTCGGTCACTTAAACTCTTACTCTCTGACCACCTCCACTCTGCCTCACACTGTTTTACCTGATTTTTTTACCATTTTCATCTTATTTTCATTATTTTATTATTTATTTTTTTTTCCTCTCCAGTCTCTTTCTAATGGTGGAGTCATGTACGCTGATATTATCTGAGAGTGAAGCCTGCAGTTTCTTAGATGTGTGTCTGGATTCTTTTGTGACTTCCTGGATGAGTTGTCATTTGGAGGAATTTCTAAGAAGATTGACCACAGATCAAAGTTTTCTCAATTTGGAGATAATGGCTCTCACTTTAGTTCTTTGGAGTCCCAGTGCCTTAGACATGGCTTTGTAACCCTTTCCAGACCAGTTTCACTTTTCTGGAATTTCTTTTCATCGTGGCGTAGTCTGCTGCTTGTTGAGACATTCTGGCCTACATAACATTGTTGGAGGAGTTATATTTAAGTGGTGTTTAGATTTAACAGGGCTGGGAGTAATCAAGCCTGGGGGTGTCTATTTTAATTGATCCCAAATATCAAGTAAATATCATTAATTGACTTAATGAGTAACTCAGTGGGCAATTACTTTTTCACATAGAGCCAGTTGGTGTTGGATGACTGTTTCCCTTCAATAAATGAAATCACTTAAAATCAGTGTTTACATTTAATCATGTTCCCCTTGTTTTATGTTACTTTTTGTGTGATTATCTAAAACTGTTTAGTGTGACAAATATTCAAAATTGAGGAAATCAGAAAATACTTTTCCACAGCTCTGTACATATGTAAATGTTTTGTGTCGATATTATACTGATAGCCAATACATATTAAACGAAATGCTTAAACAGAGCTGAGGTGCAACAAAGTAGTCTAATATAGCAAATTGAATTAATGTACTTTAGAGATCTGTCTAGTATCAGACTGTAAAAATGGTGTTTCCCATAATGTTGAAAGAAAGTAGCCTGTCTGCCTTTTTGATTGTTTTGAATCTCATATTGTTTAGATAACATACATTATTTTATTTGAGTATTTTTATGTGCCAGTCTGGGTTAGAGTGAGAGAAACAATAGAATTCAAATATCCTAAAGAATTCTGTTAGTATTTTATGTTTACATTTTATAGTGCCTTATCAGCTTATTTCTATTCAAGAATTATTCACAGGAAGTTCACCAGAGCAACAGAAATGATTATCTTACTCTCCATATTCTACTTTGACTTTACTTCCAGAAATAAGAACAAGATATTCATAGCTTGATTTTTCATCCATGTGATCCCATTTAAAACAGAAAGCACAGCTAGTGTTTTTTCTCTCTAAGTAGAAGTTCCTGTTTAGGACCATAAAAAGTTAACTGCCACAACAATCCAACCAATATATGATCTAATTAAACTTAGAACAGATCTTGCAATTTACTGAAATAAGCATTTCTGAAAAGACAAAGAGAAAAAAAGAATAATATGTTTTTTTTTTCAACAGTACACTATACTTTTAGTGTGTTTTTATATTTCAGGGATGGCTAGAGAAAGATGTTCAGTAGAAGTCTAAAACCATGTGAAATGAATATTATTATAGCCTGTCAATTTTTTACTAAAATTGAATTCACACAAAGCTCACCTGAGTATCTCCAGTTTACAGTGTGAGCTTTTCAGTCCAGCAGAGAGCAGCTTCACTCCTGAATCCTGAAGGTCATTGTTACTCAGGTCTAGCTCTTTCAGAGACGAGTTTACAGATTGTAGAGCTGATGATAGATTCTCACCGGAATTTGTGGTGAGACCACACCCTGCTAGTCTGTAAAAGCCAGAATAAATATATTACATGGTGTAATGAGGGAAACTGGAATAGAATTACTTTACTCTCCATATTCTACTTTGTCTTTACTTTCAGAAATAATAACACAAGATATTCATAGCTTGATTATTCATCCACGTGATCCCATTTAAATCAGAAAGCACAGCTGCTGTTTTTTCTCTCTAAGTAGAAGCTTCTGTTTAGGATTATAAAAAGTTAACTGCCACAAAAAGTCAGCCAGCATATGATCTAATAAAATTTAGAACAGATCTTGCAATTTGCTGAAAGAAGCATTTTTAGTAGAAGTCTAAAACCATGTGAAATGAATATTATTATAGTCTGTCAATTTTGTATTAAAATTGAATTCACACAAAGCTCACCTGAGTGTCTCCAGTTTACAGTGCGAGTGCTTCAGTCCAGCAGAGAGCAGCTCCACTCCTGAATCCTGAAGGTCAATGTTACTCAGGTCTAGCTCTTTCAGAGACGAGTTTACAGATTGTAGAGCTGATGATAGATTCTCACTGGAATTTGTGGTGAGACTACACCCAGCTAGTCTGTAAAAGTCAGAATAAATATAGTACATGGTGTAATCAGGGGAACTGTAATAGAATTACTTTACTCTCTACATTCTACTTTGACTTTACCTTCAGAAATAAGTACACGAGATATTCACAGCTTGATTATTCATCCATGTGATCCCATTTAAAACAAAAACACAGCTACTGTTTTTTCTCTCTAAGTAGAAGTTCCTGTTTAGTAACACAAAAAGTTAACTGCCACAAAAAGTCAGCCAGCATATGATATAATTAAACTTAGAACAGATCTCGCAATATACTGAAAGAATCATTCCTGAATAGATTAAGAGAAAAAGAATACCATGTTTTTTCAGCAGCACCTTATAGTTTTAGTGTTTTTATATTCAAGGATGGATAGAGAAAGAGATTCAGTAGAAGTCTAAAACCATGTAAAATGAATATTAAATATTGAGCATGAATCAGAACATACTAGTTCAGCTCTGCAGCCCTGGCACTGGCTGGCACACAACCACAAAGCATAAAACAGCCAACCCAATGCTGAACACCTGGCAAGACATTCTTTACTTTATTTGTTTATTTAGTTCCAAACGTGGATTGGTGATTGTAGAGAGTTCGACAACAGCATGTGATTCCACAATGCCTCTGCTTTATCTAACTGCTGTTTCATAATTCAGACACTGACTTTTGTAACGAGATTAGTTTTTTCTGATTACCCTCCTGATGACCCTTCCATGTATATGATGTTTGTACAACAACACTGCACAGATGACTAGCATCACTATTACCAGCCAAATCTTCCTGTAGGTCCTTGGCAGTGGTGTAGGGGTTTTACTCTGAATATCTCACTATTTTTCATGGTCTTTCTGATCTTGTCTCGACACGTTTTTTTCTTAACGGCATTTTCGACAGTGAAAATTACAAACAGGAAGTGTTTAGATATCTTTTATAATCTTTTCTTGCTGTGTACAAGTCAATTATCTTTAGCTTAAAATCCTCAGGGGTTATTATGCTATAGAATTATCCACACCTCAGGTGCATTAAGGCCTAATGAATCAAATTAGCTCTTACAAAAATTACACTGGTGGATTCACTAAAAAGCCACATTTTATTTTATTCTCAATATTTTGATTAAGCAAATAAAAGGTAATTGAACATTAAACTGTAAGATGATGCCAAAGTTTGTTCAACCCATAACACTAAAACACAACCTCTACAGCAAACTATTTAAAAATATATCACCAATTCAAAGTTAATTTATATTTGATTAATACTAAACACAGAAAAAAGCAAACAGTAAATGTGGAATGTTTAAAATTTGGACTCTATACTTAGTCAGTACTCAGTACCATCCCTTTTGGCAGATCTCATCTCTTTTTTTGTCCAGCTAGTAGTCTTTCTGTTCACATTTTAGGACATCTTCACCCACACATTCTTGATTCTTCTTACATGAACAGCATGTTTAAAATCTACCCACGGATTTTAAATGATGTTCGAGTTGGACTGTGAGGGCCATTCCAAAAGGTTCAGCCTCAGTTTCTTAAAGTAGTTCATAATGGATTGTAAGGTGTGTTTTGGATCACTGTCCTATTGTAGAATCCAGCACAAGCCTCTTTTCATCTTCCATTTCACAACTGACTCACATTTCCTACCAAAATGTACTGATATTCAATGGAATCCATTCTTCCATTATCTGTGCAGTGTTTCCTGAGCCACTGGCTGCCATACAACCCCAAAGGATACTAGATCCACCCCTTTGTGTTACAGTTAACATCATCAAATGCTGCTTTATTTTTCTCAGAACATTTGATGATTGTAGCCAAAGTTGTCTATTTTTACTTTGCAGACAAATAATATGTAAAAAATAGTTTGCTGCAGAGACTGTTTACCTCTATTCACTTCATATATCAACAAAATATGTACAAACCCAATTACAAAAAAAGGTTTCAACAGAATGTTAATTGAAGAAAAACTGAGGAAATGATTTGTAAATTCACTTTCTTTATTTAAGTAAAAGCAGTAAAACGAAAATAAATTTAGGGTGTGTCTCAAAACCCAGTGATCTCTCTACATGGACAGCATTTTACATCATAATATGTGCTCCCGACAACAAGGCTCTCAATTCTTAGATACCTTAAATATGCTGCCTACTGAGGTTTCGTATTTTGACCGAATATAGAGAGCATTTTCCACTGTTTCAGGGACCAGATCAGTGATCAAACCCTTTATAAAGGATCAGGAAAAACAGGAATCAGAAAAAAAAATTAATCATGAAAACCTGCAGCCCCACTCCGCAGATACAACTGGACACCAATGAGTTAGTCATGCAGACTCAGTTATTGTATAAAATGTTACATTAGCTAATCATTATTTAAAAGGAAGTAGAAGTAGTTTGCTTGTGTGTTTAAGCACTTTTCCTAATCTGGTTTGAATTTTAGTTGAATAATGTTGGATCTTTTAATCTCTTTATCTATTCTCTAACAAAGGTAAAAGCCCTAATTTTACTTTGTTTATTTGTTGATAGGACTATCCTTTGGAATTGGGGCTACAGGAAAAAGTGGCACAACCTAAAAAAAGAAATACAAGGTAAATTCCAAGGTAGAGTTGAAGATTAACAGTAGATTAGTAGATTCACTGAAAGATTAAGGATGTATCTCTTTTAAAGACTTGCATTTATTTCAAACATAAATACCTTTGATGTAAACATGGATAACTTTCTCCCCCAGAGCACAGCAGTCTCAGATCACTACCTAATCACAGCAGCCTGAGATCATTACCTAATCGCAGCAGTCTCAGATCACTACCTAATCGCAGCAGTCTCAGATCACTACCTAATCACAGCAGTCTCAGATCATTACCTAATCACAGCAGTCTCAGATCATTACCTAATATCATATGAAATTCACTTTAGTGGTAATGTACGTTCATCACCAGCTATCACGTTAAGCGGACTATAACTTCCTTATAGACTATAGAAGAGCTCTTACTGCAGAACGCTCAGCCTGTCTCTCCTCTCTCATAGAAAACAATACAAATAATCCTAGATTATTATTTAGCATAATTTCTAAAATAACTAAGAACCAAACAGTTACTGAACCCCAGATGCCATCAGCCTATAGCAGCAATGATTTCATGAATTTCTTCAATAATAAAATTGAAAAAAAATCAGGCACAAAATTCAAAATGCACAGTTAAACTCTACAAACCTGCTGCCTTACAAAGCCAATCCAGATATCGAGAATACTGTAAATACTCCAATTCCTACAGGTTCACTCAAAGGTTAGATTAGAGTTTAGTATTTATTTTAGGAGCTGAAGTCTCCATCGTCCAGAAGAGGGACAGACAACCATCACCAAGGATCACTCTGCCTGCTGGTAGGGAGTTGTGTGTGTAGGATCCTGCACTGTAGCAGGAAAAGCCTATAAAAGCATCCAGAACTCTGCCTGATGATCACATACAGCCTGCAGCTGCTCAGGATCTCCAGGAGCTTTAATTCAAACATGGCAGCATCTATAGCACCATGTGTATACATGCATATATTAAAGTGTATGCCCTATGTCAATATTCAAAACAAATAAAACAGTATCTGTTTTAAAACCCATTATTTATCTAACTGGCAGCTCGGTGAACCTTGGATGATGTGGAAAAAGAGTTTACTGTTTTCCCCCAAAGTGTTCAAAGGAATGTTTACATTGTGTTTACACATGTAGCAATATTCATATTTCAGCTCTTTAACGACCTCGTAATTCAGAGGACACAATGATATTCGGGAAAAGAATGTTCACAGGACAAAACATATCGGGTTCTGAACATGTTTATTTAACACAGGGGGCGATAGAGGCGATTTTTCAGAAACTCTATTCATTCTGGCCATAGAGAAATGAAGCTCAGACCCTGAGTTCCTAATATGGGCATAAGAACACGGCACAACCTGCTCCCCCAATTTTATTCCAGAAGGGGGCGTTACTAGTGGTTTCTAACTACTAACTACAAACAATATGAAACTAAAGCTGTACTTAGCGGGTCCCTCTGCTAACACTGTAATGGTGCTAATTTGCATAAATAGAAAGAAAAAATGACAGGTCTGTATCAGACTGAGGTGAACGAGGCTGACTCTCAGGTAGGTCAGTGTTCTCTGACTCCTAATTAGATTCTGGATCTGGTGGCTCAAACACTGAAGCTGCTAGTCGGAGCTTCCATTTCTCAGGTCTTTAGTATTGGACAGTTGAGAGAAGCTGCACTGAAATAAGAGTGAATTGTGTGTGTTTGTGTCAGACGACGCTAAACGCTAACTGGATCATTTCAGTCCAAGAGAGACTTTGCTGCCTAATATTTACTGCCTACTGCCCAGTTTTACTGCTCGGACTTCAGTAACTGTTCATTCACTGAAAGAGTTAGAAATCTGAAATGAGTTCTTTTATGTAACACAGTCAAAGTGTTCAACATGTGAAACGTCACTGAATGGGGTTCATCTGAATGTTTTATAGTTTGAGATCTTTTATTAGGAAAAGTGGAGAATGTAAGATTAACTTCTTCATATTCTTCATAACGTTCATATTTCATAAGCTACATTCTAAAGGTGGGGGTCGAATGAGAGCTGTAACTGTCTTCTTTCTAGTCAAATAGATGGGTGATGTCATTTTAAACTTTAAAAGAAGCTGAACTCACAAATTTTTTGTCTACTGAAAGTCGACCCATTTTTCCACAAATCTAAACTATAAACAGATGGCGTCTCTTCAGTGATCTGCTCTGTAAAAATTATTTTTATGAAATAATACAAACAACTTCTAAGATTTTTGGCTTTCAGCAGTAAATTGTAAGCATATAGCGATCATAAAACACATGTTCTGTTAATTTGACGGAACTATTACCAAAAAATAAAAAAATAAATAAATAAAATAAAAATTTAGTTATTTCATGCAGTTACTGAATAATTTGTCTTATGATTTGGTTATGAAAATTCAGATGGAAAAACCAAAATATACCCTGGAGAATAAGAGGTTCAATTAATTAATCAGCTCGAGCTCATTCTAATGTCATATAAATTCATCTCCTCCTGTGTAATTCTCCACAGATGGAATTAAGGTGTTGACATTTAGAGTAAAAAATCACTTGAACTTTATTATAAAATTCTATTTACTGTTAATGTGCAAAATTCAAAGACATGTAAATGAGCCTTGGTTTATAATTATATATAATTGTTGATTCTAGATAAAGCCATCTAAATTAGCTACTGTTTAACACTGTTTATTGAACATTTACTCAGTTACATGTACTTTTATAAAAATGCTTAAATATTTATAGTGTAATTTTAAGAATTTACGATAAGCTCATGCTTATTGTTCCTAAAACTGAAGAGCTCTATCACAATGTCAATATCACAGTGTATACTGACAATATATCATTCAGTCCTAACTCCAAAAATAGGGGGTTTCTAATAAAGTGGCCAAGCAGTGTCCCTGCAGCACTTCATAATAATAAACTATAATAACTAAAATTTATTTTTAATTGTCTGAACTGAAGATCTGATGTGTTCAGCCTTAATCAATCATCAATAATCAGATATTAATCTGCTGTATTAATGTAGATGTAACACTCACCGAGCTTTCCTGCAGACAGTCAGAGCTGGGATCAGTCTCCTATAACCCTCCTCTGATGTGTTGTATTTCTTCAGGTCCAGCTCATCCAGAACCTCCTCTGAGGTCAGGAGCACATAGGCTAGTGCTGAACACTGTCCAGGAGAGAGTTTCTCCTCTGAGTGTCTCTCTGAGTTTAGATACTCCTGAATCTCTCTGGAGAGAGACTGGTCATTCATTTCAGACAGACAGAGGAACAGATTGATGGATCTCTCAGTGGAGATGGGAGGTTGTTTATTTTCTCCTTTGATTAAACTCTTTATGTGCTCTCTGGTTCTCCATAAGCTCCTCTGTGTTGGGGTCAGTAGACCCTGTAGGAGTCTCTGATTGGACTCCAGTGAGACGCCCAGCAGGAAACGGAGGAAAAGATCCAGGTATCCATTCTGACTCTCTATAGCTTTATCCACTGCTCCCATCAGCAGCTCATCCAGAGGAACATCCTCAGACCTCTCTCTGTTTAGTGGTTTAAATATCTGCAGTGTCTTCATGTTTTTGCTCTCATAGCAGTGAATCACATAAACAGCAGCCAGGAACTCCTGAAAGCTCAGATGAACAAAGCAGTAGACCTTCCTCTGGTGAAGCACACATTCCTCCCTAAAGATCTCAGTGAAAATCCCAGAATACACTGAGGCCTCAGTGACATCAATGCTGTTCTCTCTCAGGTCCTCTTCATAGAACATCACATTGCCCTTCATCAGCTGTTTGAAAGCCAGTTCAGCCAGTTTCAGAAGAACGGTTCTGTTGGACTCCAGCAGGTTCTTTGGGTCTCTCTCGTCTTCCTCCTCATATTTCTCGTTCTTCATGTTGGTCTGAGTGATCAGGAAGTGTGAGTACATTTCAGTCAGAGTTTTAGGGATTTCTGTATGAGGCTGTTTCATGATGTGCTGAAGAACAGAGGCTGAGATCCAGCAGAAGACTGGAATGTGGCACATGATGTGGAGGCTCCTCACTGTCTTAATGTGGGAGATGATTCTCTGGGCTTGGTCTTCATCACTGATCCTCTTCCTGAAGTACTCCTCCTTCTGTGGGTCACTGAATCCCTGAATCTCTGTCACACACTTGATGTATTTAGGAGGGATCTGATTGGCTGCTGCTGGTCGGGAGGTGATCCAGATCAGAGAAGAGGGAAGCAGCTCTCCTTTGATGAGGTTCGTCATCAACACACCCACTGATGATGTCATGGTGATGTAAGATACTTCCTCACACTGTTCAAAGTTCAGTGGAATTCTGCTTTCATCCAGACCATCAAATATAAACACAGCTTTGATCTGATCATAAATCTCTGGGTCCAGATCTTTGAGCTCAGGATGGAAGTCACACAGAAGTCCATGAAGACTGTATTGATCATCTTTAATCAGGTTCAGCTCCCGGAACGGAAGCACAAACATGAGCTCTACATCCTGATTGGCTTTTCCTTCAGCCCAGTCCAGAATGAACTTCTGCACAGAGACAGTTTTTCCAATTCCAGCGATGCCTTTAGTCAGAACAGCTCTGAGCTCTGGCTCTTCTGGTCTGTGATCTTCTCTTTCTCTGTGTCTGAGTCTGTCAGCCTTCACAGCTCTAATGATCTCTTCTCGTGTTTCTCCTTCAGGACCTTGTAGAGGTTTAAAGATGTCTAAGCAGTTGATTGGAGAGTCTTGTAAGCGTCTCCTGGATGTTTTCTCCATCTGTAGAACCTCATGTTCTTCATTCACTCCTTCACTCTCTCCCTCTATGATGTAGAGCTGTGTGTAAATCCTGTTCAGGAGGGTTTTATTCTCTTCTGTTCTGATTCCCTCAAATAAGCTCTCGTACTTGTTCTTCATGCTGGTTTTGTGTCTCTCTAAGACTCTGTGTAGAACATCATCCACTGGCTGGTGAATATCTGCCAGAGTGTTTATCTGCAGTGGTGTTTGTGTGGAGTGCTGCCTAATCAGGACCAAACACAGTAACACAAACATCATTAATACAAATACCCAGAATAACCTTGTGATCATTTATTTTATTATATTTGAGCTATTTAGCAAAAAAATATTTTGTGTTTACCTCAAATTCCCAAGATAACTTAGCATTATGTGTTGTGCTTTTGATTTCTCCATAACTAACAATTATAAATATTCCCAGTCAATGGTGCACTACTAGAACATAACATTAATTGAGGTTAAATTTGGTTTTAAATATTATAGAACTGGTTATTAATAGTTAAAGGTTCACTATCACACACTGTGATCTGAGCAGCAGTCAGTCAGAATCAAACCTGTACTGAGGCGTGTGGCTCTGTTTGGGTCTCACTAAGCTGACATTAAGTTAGGTAATGAGGCTCTACAGACCTCTTAATGACACAAATCTCAGTGTACAGTGAAAATAACACACCTGTTTGTTGAAGCTGCTCAGCAAATTGTGAGCATGTTGAAAGTGATACTATTATTAATCTTATTATTAGTATCATTATTATTAGTGGTATTATTTAACAATACATTCAAAATAAAGCATGGATCAAATTATGTTAATGCATTAATAAATACTAAAATTAAAATAAAAAATAAAAATATATAAAAGTACATAAAAACAATGGATTCATGAAAAACAAGTTTATAAAAATGTCATTATCCACTTTAAATCATGTACTGTTTTCCTGTCTCTACTGGTAAATAATATATGTTGCAATAAACATCATCAAACATAAAATTTTGATTTAATTAACAATGTTATGAATTATTGGTTGACATATGTTCACCATAGTCCTGAAATTAACAGAAGTGAAAAAGGAGCTTTTTGAAATGATCATCTCACACCTGAGCAGCTCACGTTTATGAACTGGAAGGGCAAATGCAGAGGGCCTGAAGTAAACCAGTGAGAGCTCCCCCTTCTGGATGTTTATGGACTTAAACTATCAACTTCCTTTCACTTTCTTTAAACTATAATAATCAAAGCAGATCTGTTTGTTTTCTTATAGACCTTACAGATTAAAACAGCATTTAGAGCTGGTTTAAGGAACCATTAGTAACAGAAATACATCTGGTTTAAATTAACTGACTATAAATAAACCTATTTATTTATAATTGCATGTTTTGAAAATGTAAAATGAAAATTGACATAGAGTGTATTCACTGTAAAAATATGTGTTTAATGACCCCATATAAACACAGCACCACTGGATAAACAGACTCCAGGTTAAGAGCAGGTCATCCACCCTCTCCTGTCAGTGATACCCTGATGTCCTGCAAAAGCCCAGACAGCACCAATATGCTCCTTTTGCTAAAAATTAGCAAGACTCAAAACCAGACAGCAGTTTATCAGTTTAGCCAAGCTGTGTGTCTATTAAAGTGAGTGGTCTGTGGTGGAGCTATTTGGTCTACATGAATTCTGTAATAAAGTCATGTTTAACAGTGGTAGTTTATGTACAGGGTATATAAACCGAGAAGGTAAATAAGAGTCCTGAATGTTTCTCTCATTGTGGGTCACAGGACTGAATGTTCAGTGAATGTTCAGACCATCACTCCTCTTCCACACAGAACCGGACCCTGGAGAAGCTGCTCTCTGGGTTTCAGTCCTGCTGATATTAAATATGTGAGAAACTCCAGCCTTTATAAACTGATCTACAGCCCAGAGATCAGGAACATGTTTACAGTGATTCACTGTCAGAGCTGCTGTTTACTGGGAGCAGATATTTACCCTGAGTCAGAGGATCCTCTCCCTCCACTGGACTGTGCTGGAAACATCATGGACCGGTCACTCTTCATAGACACACAGCTGGATTCTCCTCCTTCTCTGCTGAATACAGGAGGGTTCTCCATGGACCGGTCACTCTTCACAGACACACAGCTGGGTTCTCCTCCTCCTCTGCTGAATACAGGAGGGTTCTCCATGGACTGGTCACTCTTCATAGACACACAGCTGGGTTCTCCTCCTTTGCTGAAATCAGGAGGGTTCTCCATGGACTGGTCACTCTTCATAGACACACAGCTGGGTTCTCCTCCTCTGCTGAAATCAGGAGGGTTCTCCATGGACTGGTCACTCTTCATAGACACACAGCTGGGTTCTCCTCCTCCTCTGCTGAAATCAGGAGGGTTCTCCATGGACTGGTCACTCTTCATAGACACACAGCTGGGTTCTCCTCCTCCTCTGCTGAAATCAGGAGGGTTCTCCATGGACCGGTACCTCTTCTCAGACACACAGCTGGGTTCTGGAGGTCCTGCACGCTTCACTCTGAGAAAAGTTCATCCACAGTGAGATTTCAGTGCTGAGTGATTATGATCTTCACTAAGACTCATTTATTCTGATTTCCTCTTTCTGTTTAATCAGATTAAGATCTGATATAAAGTTACTCACTTTGAGTCAGAGGTTCTTCCTCCACTGCTGGAGTGATGAAGCTCCATCACTGAGGTTTTACTCTCCACACACAGCCGGACGCTGGAGATGCTGCTCTCTGTCAACAGATCATCCATAAACATGTGTGTAAGATGCAGAAAGAATCTTTGTAAACTAGTGAGCTTGTTAACTTATCATGAAATAATACTAAATGTTTGGATTTTTTTAATTAAAATAATCCACCACTGTCTAGTACTAGGGATGATGGTGAAGCAGACACAGGCAAACAGGCTCTAGATCTACTGGCACCATCACATCTTCTGCTGCTCCAGTCTTTGTTAATCATAATCAGTCATTATATGATATTAATTTGCAGTCGGTGAAGGCTGTGTAGAGCTCAGACTGTCCATCACACAGAACTGCACACTAAGTTTTAAATCAATTTATACATGAACTCTGTGATTGGACGCAAAAAATTCAATCTAAAAGCCAAATAAAAACACCTAAACACTACAAAAGATGATTTCACATTTAACTGAGGTGAACAGACTCTATTAACACAGATGAGCTGTGATACAGAGTGATGGAAACAGTGTTGAGTAAACAGTGACGTTTTGGAGACGTAAATCTCATATTTCAGCTTCATCTGAGCTCCATAATAATAAAACATCTCTGTAATGTTGATCAAGAACTGCGGGTCATTCTCAGGTGGACGGTGTTGGAGTGGAAAGGTAATCTGATCTCTCAGTAAATGGTCCATCACTCTGAGCTGCTGTAGGTCAGCTGTGTACAGATGACCACTCTACTCAGAGCTAATACAGGCTCAGACTCTCCATTAGGCTACAGTCAAGTTCTCTTTAGTTCCACAGGACTAATCCTGTTATGGCCTCTTCAGGATCTTCATATAAGAGTAGCTGATGGAATCAGACACTGATGAACTGATCACCTCTATAATCCTGATAATCATAATCAATAATGTTACTGTCTCTCTCTGATCAGTTCATTATTAATAAATTGTATTTACTGATAGAATCTCAGTATAAACAGACACATTATACATATTTACTGTATTTATGATGATCAATGCTGATGTTATTGCACTTCTAATCACTTTTATTGATCTATGAAAGCTTCCTAGAGGTGTTCTATTACAAACTAAAGAAAACCAGTGGAGCTGCTTTGTTTCTACACACCCAGCATCTGGAATTCACTTCCTCCTAAAGTTCAACACCCTTAACACTCACACTCAACAAGCACATGAACACCTTATTTACTCTAGATTTACTCTGTCTTATTAAAATCATATTTATTTACTCTAGATTTTAATGAACTGTCTTATTAAAATGATAGTTTTACTCTAGATTTTAATGAAGTCTTATTAAAATGATAGTTTTACTCTAGATTTTAATGAAGTCTTATTAAAATGATAGTTTCACTCTAGATTTTAATCAACATCTACGTTTTCAATCTAGATCCTCTTTTAATCAGTTTCCTCTTGTTGCTTTAGAAATGTTCTTGTGTTTAATTTCTCTGAGAGCTGCTAAGTTTAAAGCTGTTATTATAATAAAGGTTGTTATTAATGCAGATCTGAACTCCTCAGTGATATCTGTGAGGAACTGAAAGCACTGTTACCTTTTCTGAGGTTAGTCTAGACGTCTTCAGTGAGAAAGTCCAAGTCCATCTTCATCTGTGTTCATTTACAGCAGATCTACAAGAAAAACATCACTGACCACCAACACAGACACTCCATCTCCATTTCAGTAGAGTATCTTCTCCCACTGCAGCCTTTAGAACATTACAGAGCTGAACTCACTCTGTCTCAGTCCAGACTGAACCAGAATACGGCTGAACTTTGTTTTCTTTAGAACCAGAGAAACCGGTTGGAGCTTATTTCAGTCTCATTACGTCAGCAGTGGATCTGGAACTACACTCTGCTGCAGATCTCACTGATTGTCCATCACCAGCAATGCTCTGAATATTACATTATTATTGTCATTATTGTTTTTATTGTTGTTTTTATTTATTCGTTTTTTTAGTGAGGGGTCCACATGTTTTGTCTCCAGTTAAATTTCTGACTAAAAGTTTTCATTTCAGTTACTCTGACCTTTCACCCATAAACTGGTTTAACTGGTCTGAGTTCTAAGAGAAACATGTTCCAGCGAAGAGCTGAACTCTTTCTAAAGGCTCTGCTCTCTCTGTGTTGTGTGTCTGTGTTTGTGCTCTGTCCAGGTCCCATGAAGGTCGGTTCCAGTACCCATGAAGTCCAGTCCTTGTTTCAGCCCCTACCAGTCCCTTCCATTCTGCCCCAGTGTTCCCTTCTGTGGGCCACATCACCACAGCAGGATCTCTATGACCACCTGCTCAGTGGACAGAACTCATTCTCCTGTTTTATTTCCTGTGGTTGCTGTTTCTCTGATTTACTGGTTTATTGGGTTCTAGACACTGTTAGCCTGGTTATTGGTGTACATTTGTACACACTGGGTCTGGTGGTCTAATCTGAGAGAAGGGTGGGGCTGACGTTTCTGTTGGGTTTGGATTTTGAGAGTTGAGAGAGTTATTTCCTTGCTGTGTTTGGATATTGTTACATTTTTTAAATTGTTTTATTTTATTTTCTAGTTTTATGTTGTTCATTGTTAAATGAATGTATGGCCTGTTCTCGTGGTCTGAACAGTAACAGTATTTGATGACTCTTCCTGGGGGCAGGAGCAGAGCACTCAGTTTACCACATCAACTGTGGTCGTTTGACGACAGTAAGGTTTTTATAACAGAACTCAAATCTCCCTCTCTGCTCTGTATGAGGCTCTTGGGGGTGGGGAGATTTAGAGTTAAGAGCTCTGGGTCCAAACCTGGTTTTCAGCCTGGTTTTGGGAGCAGAATATGGACAGAGTGCTCATTCTTTATTTATAAACTATCATTAATTCTGTGAATCCCAGTCTCTTAAATCTCTTCCACGGCAAGATCAAAGATTTTCAACAATGGCGGATTTTCTACAGTGGTGGTGAAGGTGGGATCAGGTCCGTCTCCGAGACCTGAGGAAAAAGAACTTAACCACCAAACAGAAGAGGTCCAGTTTGTGTTTTGTCTTGTGTTCTGTGTTGTGGTCAGTGACTGTGGTCACATGGGTCATAAGCAGTGAATTAGGTCCATAAGTCCCATCGATCTTAAGTTGCACAAATCCTAAGTAGTGAAAATGATTTGGCACAACGGCGTTCGTGGTTCCGACACTATGAGGGTCGTTAATAGTTTACCTCGGTGGGCCAGTGTTCCAGAGTTAAACCTACAGATGTGTTTTACTGTTCACCCAAACCTGTGGGATTTTCCCAGTTCAGTTTTTGTTTGAACATGTATTTAACACATTTTTGCGAGAAACCTTTATAACCGTTGCTGATTCTGCGTGGCTACATGGATGCAGGTGAGCAGGGGTTAAACTGGCATTTTGGAGGTGGGGGAGTCCTATTTTTTGATGTATTCCAATGTTGAGAACTGTTTTATTTTAATTTCTAGTTTTCTGTTTTTACTCCAACAATGTGGGATCAGTATTGTTCACTTTATTTGGTAAATGCAGTGATATATGGCATTCATAGCTCTGATATCCTGAACATGTGATTAACACTAACAGCCTGTTTCTCTCTTTTCATTTAGTTTTAATAAATGTTTTACCAAAATTCTACTGCAGCCTGCAGCAAAATAAACCATTCCAAAAAATCTTACCTTCATTAAAACCCCTCCACCTTTTCTTTTTAACAGTGTGCTCAGTGCAGCTTCTCCAGTTACTTATTTTTCAGAAGACTGGAGGTAAAGAGACAGTTTGTAAAATCCACTGTTAAACTGCAAAATAAGTTTACTTAAGCATCTCAAAGGTTTTTATGAATGTGAAAATGGAAACATTTCCAAGGAAAACAGGTTCTCAGATGGTGTTTAGAAGGAACTAAATTTAATAAACAAGCTTTTCTTTCTGACTGAGCAATGAGTGACACTGACTTTACATTCAGATGTTAATGTAGCACTAGATCATTTGAGTAAATCATTCCTATCTTTGGTAAATAAACACCCCCCACAGAAAGCTGAGAATAAGAGATGGATCGATTCCCTGTAACGGGTGACCCACTCTGAGGGAAATTCAAACCGAGTGTGTGACCATCACATGCTCAAAGAGAACCCGAAGGCAGAAATGAAAGCTTTAGCGCAAGTTCTGCCAGGAAGACTCCAATGCTACGTCACTCATTACTCTGACCAATCACAAGCTTCCACCTGTCTTTAAAATGACTCGACTTACACACCTGCTTTGCTGCTTTCAGATGCTGACGTTTTGTCGTTCCTTTTCGAGTCAATTCCCTCGGTGTTGCTACTCGCAGGTATTCTGGCAAGAAGCGGCTTGTTTTTGATTTGTCTTCTCCTCATTCAGAGCTGGTTGCTAGTGTGAACGAATGCATTCCTCTCGAGCCGTTCTCCCTGTATTATGCCTCTGCTGATGATGCTATCCGGTTTATTAAGGTTGCGGGTCGTGGCTAAAGCAGATATTACGTACGCCTTTAAAATATGGCCTATTCACCTGTCGGATTGGCCTCTCTTTGGCGTTAAGTGGGAGTCCAGGTTTCATTTTGCCGTCCGACTTACTTTCGGTTGCAGGAGTAGCCTCGTATTTTTGATTGTCTTTCCGAGGCTTTGTGTTGTTCCTGTTGAACTTCTGTTATTTGCCTTTCGTCCTCCATCTCTTGGATGATTTTTTTTGCTTGTGAACTTTCCGTCTTCTCGTCGTTCTGTGCTGGATGTCCTCAAGGGCGTTTTTGTGAATTGGGTGTTCCTCTCTCTGCTGAAAAGACTGTTGGTCCTTCCACCAGTCTCGAATTTCTCCGCATCGTTTCGGATTCTGTTGAAATGCCTGCATCTCTCCCCGCAGATAAGCTCGCTAGGATTAGATCGGTTTAGGAGCTTTTCTCTCAGCTTCGTCTGTTTCTAAGCATGACGTTCTCTCTCTTCTCGGTCTTCTCAACTTTGCTATGCGCGTCGTTCCTCGGGGTCGTTCTGTTATTTCTCGCTTACTCCATGGTTAATTTGCGTGATGTCGTTGCCTTGACGATGGCTGCCGGTCCTATCTGCGGTTCTGGTCTCGACTCCTCGAGCAATGGAACGGCATCTCCTTTTACTCCGACGTGGTTGAGTCCTCGGATTCTCTTGCTTTGTTCACTGTCGCCGCTTCTTCTGTTGGTTTTGGGGGGTACTTCCAAGGGCAATGGTTCACAGAGAAATGGCCAGCCGAATTCTCTGAATTTGCCCTTGGATCTGCTTCCTCGGCACTGCACGAGATTTATCCCATCGTTGTCGCTAGCATTCTGTGGGGTGAGGTTTGGTAATATTTTTTGCAACAACGAAGCCGTGGTTGCCATCATTAACAAAGGAAGGTCATCACGTAGCACTTAGACGTTCAACATGGCAATCAGTCATTCATAACTTTATTGTGACAGCTGAACATATTCCTGGCCATTTTCGATCTCGTTTACAGGAGTTCAGACGTCTCTGCCCCTCGGCCTACATGGATCCACACCTTGCCCTCCTTTCACCCTACTCATTTTGGACTAAATAACTATTGTAATGCCTGTAAGATGGTTGTTCTTATGCAGGAGGACACAGGTCGAGGTAAGTAACATGAACTTTATTCGCTTTATGAACAGCGTTAGATAACAGAGCTATTGTTCTCTTTTCCAGGTTACGTCTTGCAGAGAGGTCTCTCGTTCAGTCGGGGCTATTTCCCGTAGTAATGCGCAGGGCGCATGGATACTTAAGGTAAATAGTGCTCACCAAGGACAACATTATAGATCATTACGTTACATCCCCCTCTCTTTTGAGTTTTACATGCATTCAATACCAAATACATATATAAGTCATGAATTCAGGTGAGGATTGCTGTTGATTCTACAACACATACTAAACTTTGCATAACATATGAACATGCATAACAATATATATATTTTCTCCACAGCAAGATTCTAACTTGAGGATTTTCCAGGTAGACTGCCGGTCACCTCCATAGCTGCTGAGGATTATTCTGCCTCATGTAGCAAGCTATGTTTTAACTACAAAGTCCTTAAACTTTTCTGGGAAACGAATGACTCTGCCTCTGGAACTGATCTTATAAGTATCACAAGAAGGGTGCCGCTCAGTCTTCTCTTTTGTTTCTAAGTCTTCTTTTTCCGACACTTGAACAGGTTGGGAATCTGGTGAAGGTAGTGAACAAAGACCTCAATTCAGGGTCATCTCATCCAACATAGCTGTTCGGCACTCTATCGCGAAGTGACCTATCTTCCTGCACTTCCAACATTCTGTGCTTCGAGCTGGACAGTCTGCTGACTTTGGGTGAGTCTTACCGCAGCGGTGGCATTTCTTAGCACCCTTTCGGTCAACATGCTTCGTGTTCGTTCTGTGATTGCTTTGATTTGGCTTGCGCTTAGGTTTGGCACCTAAATTAACTGCACGCCCTTGATTCACCTTGTTTAACCGTGTGCTGGCAGCCCCTTGTTCGGAAATGTGACCTTTGACTTGCTCCGACTGTCGAACTAGTTCAACGACCCTTTCCAGCGTTAAATCTGCAGTTAACTGCAGTTTCTCCGACAGCCCCTTGTCTGATTTTCCGACCACGAGTCTGTCGCGAATGTTTTCTGCCTTAGCATTGGCAAACGAACATGTCTCCGCTAGCTCATACAAGCTCCGTATAAACTCTTCTGCAATTTCCCCTTGCCTTTGTATGCGCTGATAAAAGCGTGCTCGCTCATGGATTACGTTGACTTTTAGAACAAAGTAGTTGTTCATCTTTCCTAGC